TGTGGGTGCTTCACCTACCCCACCCTCATTCGTCCCACTCTGGGCCCTTGAGCAAGGCCCTTAACCCCCACCATCTGCTCCTCTGGGTGTCCTAGATAGCAGCTCTCTGCTCCACACAGAGGCTGTGGTAGCTCGGTGTCTGTGGTTGGTCAGGAAGACCATCCGGCGTAAATATAACTGCCAAGTCTTCGCGTGACTTAGTTCGCTGTGGCAACCCCTAACGCAGGGAGCAGTCGAAAAAAAGAAGAAAAAAATAAATAAAAATATATATACAAAGTAGTAATAGTAATGATATTTGTGGTAAACAGCCCCACAATATGGATGTTGTGGGGTTGTCTTGGTTGACACACCTTTGCAACATTGCGTGGACATCGGGGACAGTGCCACTGGATTGGGAGACTGGGGTGGTGGTTCTCCTCTTCAAAACGGGGGACGGGAGGGTGTGCTCCAATTACAGGGCATCACTTTCCTAGCCTCCCTGGTAAGATCTATTCAGGGGTACTGGAGAAAGTAGTCCCATTGTTGGTCAAACCTCAGATACAGGAGGAAAATTGCGGGTTCTGTCCAGGTCGTGGAACACTGGATCAGCTCTTTACCCTCACTAGGGTTCTCAAGGGGTCATGGGAATTTGCCCATCAAGTCTACATGTATTTTGTGGACTTGGCAAAGCTGCTTCACCGTGTTCCTCAAGGTACACTGTAGGGTGTCCGTGTGTTTGGGATTGGGGGCCCGTTGCTATGGGCTGTTCCGTCCCTATACAAGCGGTGTAAGAGTTTGGTTCACATTGCTGACAGTAAGTCAGACCCTTTCAGGGTGGGAGTTGGACTCCACCAGGACTGCCTGTTGTCACCAATTCTATTCATAACTTTTATGGACAGAATTACTCAGCACAGCCAGGGGATGGAAGGAGTGTGGTTTGGTGGACTCAGGATTCCATCTCTGCTATTTGCAGATGATGTGGTCTTGTTGGTGTCATCGTGCTGTGACCTTCAACTCTCACTGGAGCAGTTTGGAGCTGAGTGTGAAGCGTCTGGGATAAGAATCAACACCTCCAAAACTGAGGCCATGGTCCTCAGTTGGAAAAGGGTGGATTGGTCTCTTCGGGTCGAGTGGGAGGGTCTGCCTCAAGTGGAGGAATTCAAGTATCTCAGGTTATCCTGATGCATGCTCAATCATCCAGGTAGAAAAATCTAAAAAAGTTAAATCTGGTCCTCTGGACATTCAAAAAAAAAATTGTAGAAACGTTTCGTCTTTCATCCGAAAGACTTCCTCAGTCTGAGGTGCTGTATTCAGCTCAGTCTCTTAAATAGCACCTTCTCAGAGTGGATCAACCAGTTTGCTGCTGACAACCAGAACCAGCTGATCACATGCTCAAGAAGGACCATCAGCCTAACAATGGATCATTAGCACCTGATGGCTGTGTACTATTCACAGAGGGCTGAGTGATACTAGCAATCACAGCATTGTAAGAGGGGGACAGTTGAACCCGGAGGCTCCGCCCCTGTTTAATGATGGACGATTTCTTTTCACAAAGATGGCCTCCTTTACTCCTCTCTCAAACCATCGTTCCTCTCTGTCCAGGATGTGAACATCTTCATCCCTGAAAGAGTGACCGCTGGCCTGGAGATGAGTGTAGACCTCAGATTCCTGGCCTGATGGTGTTGATCTTCTGTGCTGGTCCATCCTTTTGGCCAGTGGCTGTTTAGTTTCCCCGATGTAAGACTGATCATCCTCCTGACACTGAACAGCATACACAATATTACTTTGTTTGTGCCGGGGGACTGGATCTTTGGGATGAACCAGTCTTTAATGTATTTTGGGGTTTAAAAGCCACTGGGACGTTATGTTTAGAAAATAAACGTCTCAGTTTCTCTGATACTCCCTCAACATATGGAATGACCACTGGTCTGACCCAGACAGTTCAGCTCTGAACTGCCCATCATTATTTGGACTAGTCACAAGAATCTAGCCTACATTCAGGGTGCCAAAAGACTTAGTGTCCACCAAGCTAGGTTGCAGTTTTCTTTGCTCAATTCAACTTGACCATCACATAAATACCTGGCAGTGAAGATTCAACGAGTCTGCCGGCTTCCTTCCTTAGACAGATAGAAGTTTACTAATTGGCTTTTCTATGTACAGTATATGAATGTTTCTGTAAAGTGTCCTGAGACAACTTTGTTGTGAATTGGCGCTATATAAATAAACTGAATTGAATTGGTTCTTGCAACTTAAAACCTGATGCTCTTTCTCACCAGTTCCCTTCCTCAGAGAATCCAGAAACTCCTGAGAGGATCCTGCCCTCTTCCTACACAGCGGGGATCATGGCATGGTCCACTGAAAAACACAGAGGCTCAAAGGACAGAATCTTTTATAAATAAAGTTCTTTGGGTTCACACTGCTAAATTTACTTGTCACCCAGGCACAAGACATAGATTACTCCTCACAAGAAAACATTTTTGGTGGCCCAATATGTACAATGATGTGAAGAACTTTGTGGTAGCCTGTTCAACAAGTGCCAGAAATACAAATAATAACCAACCATCTATAGGATTACTACTATCACTATCCTCTCCTGGTTGACCTTGGTCTCACATTGACTTCATCACCGGTCTCTCTGCGTCTGAAGGTAACTGTTATATGTACGGTTATTGATTGATTTTCCAAAGGCTGCTCACTTCATTTCACTGGTAAAGCTTCCATCTGCATTTGAAACATCATAACTAATGATTAAGCATGCTTTTCATCTCCATGGCATCCCTCAGAACATTGTTTCAGATAGGGGGCCTCAGTTCATTTCCCAGATATGGAAAGCATTCTGCCAGGCCCTGGGTGCTACATTGAGTTTGACCTCCAAATACCATTCCCAGTCCAACAGTCAAAGAGAAAGATGTTTTTTTTTCCTCTTGCCCTCAACGAAGACGTACGCTTTTCTTCCCTCTCCTGCATTACTTCTGCTTTTGCTCTATCAGAGCCTCTCTTTATACATCTTCCGAATCGTAAATTATTATTATGGATCTAGTCAGTTGGTCTTTCAACACAACTGATAAAAAATTTTCGACCAAGAGACAGGGTGCTGGAAAGCCCTCATGCCCTGAATGGACGCATGCAGCTGGGTATGTCATGGATTTCTGGGAGCAGTGGAAGATGATGTGCCTGTCTAAGCTGTCCGTGGAGGACATAAAAGATGTGTACATTATTGGATTTATGATAACAGGGTTTCTGATTTTTGGAATTGGCGGATACCTAGGATATTGACAAATTAGGAAGATGTTGGCAGCAGTTTCAGCCATGGTAAAGCTGCCAACCTTATGTGAAGGATTAATTTGTGCTTTAAGTGCTCAGACTCATATGTTTAGCGAACTCAACCACAAGCTGGACGCAATTTCTGAGAATGGTAGGCCACTTGCAGCTCCTGGAACTTGCTGGCATGAAAAATTCGACCTTGGAAAAGGCTAACAAGCACGGACTGGTGGAATGTCCACAAATCTGGCTGTTTGGATTTGCCATTGAGAGTACCAGCAGAAATGAAGACAGACAGATATCACAGTCTGCCTGCCCAAAACCATTGTTGTTTACCTGAATCTGGCCTCCCCGCTTGGCCTTGGATAGGTCAACTTATTTCAAATGGCTCCTGGTGGATATGTAAATCAAGAAGCTCTGCTCTGTCCACCCCTGCACCCCCCACCCGAGAACTTCTGTGAACGCTTATCAGAGTTGTACTGGCTGACAGAAACGGTAACATTTTTTTCATTCAACCTTTATTTAGACAGGTTAATCCCATTGAGCCTCGGGGACTCATTTACTAGAGGACCTGATTCCTTTAACAAAGAATGATGACAACAGTGGATAACAATGACAACAATAGACAGTCATAAAGGAGACATAAAAATTATTATTATTATTATTATTATTTACATATCAGGACTATGGAAACTATCTGGAAGTGCTCATGGAAAAATCTCACTGTCTTGTCATCTATGCATATGAATTGTGTTTGTCTATGTTGCTTGCTGTGGTATATTTTTTGATGCCTTAAACCGTGCCCTGTAAAGACACGGTGTGAGAGATCTTTTTTTTATATACCTCTCTCTCCTCGTGTTTTCTTCTCCTTTTCTATCTAAGCAATAGGGGCAGC